TATTGAGTGTCCCAGAAGTAGGTTGACGCTGCTCTCGGCTCATCCTTTGGCTTTTACTAGCGCAACAAAATGAGCGCAACAAAATCAGCCGGCAAGCCGCCAATTCACGTTGGCGCTCAAGTGCTTGTCGGTGCGCCCTCCGGTGGACAAAATCAGGCACGACTCTTGACTCGGGTCGCAAAATGAGCAGCGAAGGGAAGGCACGCTCGAGCATACGGGCCGGATCTTTGGTCGCGGGCTCCGTTCCAGGACGGGGCCCTGACGGCCGCGCGGAAGAAGACGCCCTCGTGTCGACCGAGGACACGTTGCGCCAAATGTGCTTCGGGGAGCTCAAGTCCCCTCCACGTGGACGCCCGTTGACCTTTTGCGTTTGTGCGGTGCGGTGCGGTGTTCCCCCGTCAGGTTTCTGTTATGTGGAGTTTGACGACCTGGACTCTCTGAAGGAGGCCTTGGCGTACGACGGCGCCGTGAGTCCGCCGCCCGTTGTCTTTGGGGGCTCTTGCCACGCGCTCACCGTCTTTGTGACCTTCCGCCCCCGCAGGATTATTGCTCCAGGTCACTTCGGGTGGACATTGCGGAGGGGCGGAGACAAGCGCGAGGGGGGAGCGGCTTTGGCTTTCCCAAAGACGACTCTCGAGGTAGGCCCGGGCGCTCGTCGCGGGAACGCCGATGCCGCGTCTGATCGGCGGAGCGGTCCTCGACGGCGCTAACGGGCGTGTCGTCCGCAGGCCAAGGAGGACATCGAGGAGGCGGCCCCCGAGGAGGACGCGATGACTTCGTGGATCAGCCCGGTGGAGGTGCGACCAATCAGATGGCAGGTCAAAGTCACGTGACTGGCAACTCCCGCTCGCGGCTGCACATTCGCCCGTCTGCGTATTCGTGTCGTGCCAGTGATGATGATGATGATGAGGAGGAGGAGGAGGAATCGTGCACTCGTTCCCTTCTCCCGAGTCACAAGCAAGGGATTTTGCGTGGCGGGCATTCTAGCAGGTGCGCTGCCACCAATATCTGGCAGATGAAAAACTCGGCCGAGGAATTGGAAAAAAAGTCAAAGTGTTTCGTTTTTTTTTTTTTTTTCCCCGAACACTGTCAACAAAATGCCCTGAATGGCAAGGCGTGACAAGACCTTGTCCCTTCCTGTTTGTCGAAGTTGACAGACAACTGAGAGGACTTTTCTCGTCGGAGAAACGTGCACAAAAAGCATCAACTGAAATGAATCCATCTGTGGACTCATTTGGAGCGTAAATGTTGAGCGGCGTACGAGCAACCGCACGAGTGAAGTTGAACGTTGAGAGTTCAACTTTTTCTCTCATCTTTGGAAAAAAAGATGAGAAAAAAGCCTTTCTGCAGCCAGACAAAGACTTCCGTCACAGGATCGCTGTCAGAGAGAATGCCCCCGTAACGAGAGACCGCCGCGCCATTGGATCGTGCGGGGAAGCGCACGCGAGTTCGGTCAGAGCGCGGGCAAACGGCGCAAGGACCTCGGCGACAATAAGGCGACGTTGGCGTCGGTTGGGGTTCTTTGGCCGGGGGCTCAATTTGGCACGTTCGCCGGACCCGCCGTCCGAAAATCCCGACCGGGTGATTCGGGGCAAGGGAAGGAGTGGCCGAGCCCCCCCCACCTGGGGGGGGCGCCGGCGTCCGCTGTGGCCCGGCCGCCGTGCTGAGTGGCGTCCTCGGCTTCTGCTCTTCAGGTTTCAGAGACGACGACTTCTCGGGAGGGCGGAGTCGGGGAGGCGGCCGCGGAGGCGACAGGCGAGGCGGCGGCGGCGGCGGGATGGGTCGCTACAGAGACGGGCCGCCTCGCGGAGGCATGTCGGACTTCAGGGAACCATCTGACGGTACGTCGGGATCCGTGGCCGCCTCGTGGGCGCGCGAGCCATCCGTTCTTCGCCCGAAGGTCGATTGCAAAAGCTCCCCCCGCCCCCCCTCAATTGCTGCCCATGCATCAACCGAGTTGGTGTCGTCGAATGATGGGACAAAAGCACCGAGGGGTTGTCATCCGTTTCTCCTTGTGCATTTTCTCCGCTGCGCGTCTGAAATCATGGTCCGTTTATTGATTGATTGATTTGAGTCGTCAGAACTTGTCGTCCTGCTATTCGGTTCCCGGAAGATAGCGGCCAATGTTTACGGTGCGGAGGCTTGTTGATTTCATCAATGACACTGCTTGGGTCATTTGATTTGTTCGCTTCGCTGATGTATTGCTTGACTGGGCTTGTGTGTGTGCGTGTGCGTGCGTGTGTCTCCACCCCATCTCAGAGGAGCGTGCGCAGAGGCCGCGTCTCCAGTTGAAGCCTCGGACGGTGTCGGAGCCTCTCAACCAGGTGGCCAACCCCAACTCCGCCATCTTTGGGGGCGCCAAGCCGCGAGAGGATGGGGCGGGCTTGACCGGCAGCCAACTCCGGCTCGGAGACGCTCGCGGCGCCGTTTACGTACTGACAGACGGCAAGCGGACGCCGCCCTCTTCATCCTCCTCTTCCTCGTCTTTGTCTTTTCCATGGGCGCAGATCTTCGTTTTTAGCCACAGTGTGAATCACAATAACCCGACGAAGCGCGCGCTCGCTCGCTCTCCAAATTGCGTGTGAATGCTGAAGCCCAAATCGTTGCAGTGGTTGACGTGCGCAATGCTTTTTGCCGGATGAGGGCACCATTCGGACACCGGAATGCTTCGATTCAAAAAAAAGAATCAATGAATTGGGCGAGACGCTGGACTCGGGGGCTGAAATTCCAGGATGAGCCCGACATGCGGCCGAGCCTTTTCGGGTCAACTCGAGTCGAGGGGACGCCTTGAGAAAGAATCGCGTTCGGCCCCGCCGCGGAGCCGACCAAAAACGACGGCTTGCGACTGGCACTTTGATCCTCGGACACCCTGCGGCCGTACCGTACGCGCGCAATATTGCGCTTTTAAGGAGGCGGGTTGGCGCGGGGCGAGGACGTGGGCGACGGTCGCAGGCTGCAGGCTTGCTCTTTTCATCCTCGGGTGCGGGAGAAATTCCATCGCCAGAGTCAAGTGTCGCGGTCAAACGCAACGCACGCGCGGAGACGCCACTCGCTGCGCGTGCGCGGTTTGACGACGGGGCCGTCCGAGTCCCGCTCGCTTCAAACCCGTCAATGCTTTTCGCGCTTATTTGGAATGCGCTGCCAAATCCCATTTTCTGTGACGGCCGTTTTGGCGAGAGGTCGACCTCCAAAGGTGGAAAGGCTCTTTGGGGCTTCAGCCCCAAGGCCAGCTGGGTCAACTTTTTGGAAACGTTTTCAGCATTCGCGCACATTTGGAGATGCATGTTTGGCTTTTTCCCTCCGCCCCCTCCCATCCATTTTACAGTGATGTCACCGCCGGCCACGCCCATTTTTCCTTTCCTAAGCCCGGAATTCCCCTCGCCGCCCGCTTCGCCCTTCCCGGCGAATCGCTCGCCGCGAGCCAATTTGCCGCTCGCGCGGCCTGCGTCGCAAGGGGCCGTTTTGGATTCGATCGGGGTTGAAACCAACGGTGGAGTTGACGTTCCGTGACGCGAATTCTTGGCGCTGCGTTCGCGTGAATTTAACGACGCGTTCATTATCGCTTGATCGCCTCGTTTTTGGAAACGGTCGACAGGTCAAATAGTTCCCGACCGGCACGGTGACCTGGCTCACCGCCGGCCGTTTTGCAAATTGAACTCGAGTCCCCAAAATGTTGCGGTTGGCTTTGCAAGGACACGTCGGACAAGCCGTTGCGATCACGTTGGCGGGAGAAGAATTGGATCCGTCCATCAAATTTCATCCATCGCGCGTCGGGCTGTGTCGCCCTCTGCTGGCCAGTTTGCAGCTCACCCTGACCCCCAACACGCAAAAAAAAAAAAACAAAATCGGATTCCAGAAGAACGGAAAAGGGGGCAATCAATCTTTCGCCAAGAATCTTTGCGTTTCGGTATCGCGAACCTTCGAAGACAACATCACGCGGTCCAAATGCCGCGACGACGGCCGCCAGTCAATGAGTCGCACGGCGCGCTTTTGACAAGCGTCGAATGGTGTCGGCCGGCGGGGGGGAGGGGCCGCCCCCCGCCGGATGTTTGCTCTGCGTGTTGCTGCGCTTGTCGCGGTTGTTGATGTGCTCGTGTCTTCCATTGCAGCAGTGACGCGTTTGCGGCAGCCGAGCGAGCGGACGGCGAAAGAGCAGAAAAGAAAAGCAGAAAAAAGGTTTCGTTGTGTCAGTGTGGACCACCAGAAGAAAGAGCAAAGTCCAAATTGCTGCCCGAGCAGGCAAGCAAGCCGCACGTTCCACCATCTCGTTTTCCTCCCTCCCTCTCTCCCCCCCCCCTCCCGCAAGTTGTCGCTTTCTGCTCCTGGTCCACACCCGCTCCCTCCCGTTCGGTCCGGCTTCTCGGCCCGGTCCCGACTCGGCCGCGGACCGCTTCCCGTATCTCTGCGCTCTTGTGGACCGGGTCGGGGCGCGTCATCGTTCGGGTTCTCGTCTCGTGTGTTCTGGATGTGGCAGACACTTTCTTATTGTACAAAAGGAATAAAACGGCTGTTTTAAATGTTTTCTTTCTTTCTTTTTCTTTTTCTCGGTGACAATGACGGCAATAAACGGAATCCTCAAACCGTGTGACTGGGCTTCAGAATCACGTCATTTCTCCTCGCGGCAGGCCGGGAGAGGGAGCGCTCGCCGAGTCGGGCTTTGGACTCGTGCGGACGGACGCTCGCGTTTCTCCAACCCGCTTTCAAGTGGGCCAGACCCATCCGTCCTTTTGCGGTTTCGCGGGCGATCTCAAAATTCCAAACGCTTGCGAGTACGCTTGGATGCGATTCGGTTGCGAATGAAATGTCTTCGAACCGATTGCCGTTTGAAGCGTGTTCTTGAGGTGGGCGTGAAATCTGCGCGGCCGCGCCGAAGCCCCTCCGGCGTTTAAGTCGATTTTCTCAAGTATCTCGATAGAAGTGCTTTTCTGGGTCCACATACACGCACGCAAACGTATCGCTCCAACCCCCCTTTAGCCCCGGGACAGAACGCCATCCGCGAGCCGCCCGGGCAAGTGATCAAGCCGCTCGTTCAAACAAGCAACTTGGAAAGCTTTGGAAATCAGTTGGCGATGTGCGCCGCCTGCCTTGTCAACGTGGACATCAGCGCACCCATCCCGGTTGTGCCTGAAAGAAATCATCTCCCCCCCAAGCTCAAGCTCTCCATTGGGTTTGTTCGCACGTTTTGACATCTTGCCAGGGATGGCGCTGTAGCCCCGTCTGAACTCTGCGATCAGCCCCCGCGGCACGCGTTGGGCTCTTCGTCGCCTCGATTTCGAAGCCCCCCGGTTGCTTCGGGAGAGGAGCGCGGGGAGCGAAGGCCGGGCCCTTCCCGCTTTCCGTTCGAGGACGTCGCCCGGAAGCGAAAGCCACGATGCCGGCTGAAGGCGGCTCCCCGACCGTGCGCTTTGTCGACGAGCTTTTCTCCACGCCGAAGGAAGCCACGGCGGCCGCAGAAGGGAAGGCTCCTCCGAGAACGGCCAAGGTTACTCGGGCGGTCGCGGGGTGCAGCCTGCCTGCGGAGGCTTCGTCGAGCACGCAGCGTCCGCGGCAGGGCCACCGGGCGGTAGGGGAGCGACTCCTTTTCCACCCGCCAACTCAAACCGTGCTCTGGAGCCTCGGCATCACCCCCCCCCCCCGCAATATTCCGTTCACCTATGTATTCTG